CAACACTGCTAGATCAGCTGCGCCCTGTGTCTTGCTAAGGTCAGCGAGGTGAGTCTTGGTGGCAAGAATCAAGCCTCCTCGAGGTGGTCCGACTTGAAGGCGATGGCATTGACTCATTGGTTTTCCATCACTGCCATTGAATGGAATGGTGCCCTTGATCTGCAGGTCCTCCCATCGGGATTGCGCCGGACGTGGGGCACGTTTGATCCACGGATCCTGGAGTTGGAGGATGTCAACTGGCTGCCCTGAAGACTTCTTTGCCTCTGCTGCGTGAGACTTGGTAGCGGATGGCTCAACCGGCTGCATCGGGACATCACCTTCAACACCAGCCGCGAAGTAATGAGCTGGGAAGCGGTTCTCCGTGACCTGGACAAGGAACCAGTTCCGCACATTGGAAGCAAATGTAAGGAGACTTTCTCTGGCATCGGCCCCCAGCCATATGTCGCGGTCAGCTTGTTGGATCTGACAGATGGTAGCAGCAAATGGGGCACAAGCGAGTTGGCGCCTTTGGCTGGCTGTCACTGCATCTGAGCCAATGCCCAACCTCTGATGGATGTTGTAGAGGAGCTGGTGGCCACACATATGTTCTGGAGCATTCTGGTCGATGAATGTGATTTGCAGATTGTTCCTGTCAACCCGGGCAACATCAATGAGATACTCCAACAATGCTTCAATGGCCTGGCGCATGGATCGAGGAGACGTGACTCCAAAGGAAGCATCTTGCTCAGTGATGTACACCTCCACTTGGATCCAATGGTTGTCGATAATGATGAACCAGATCACATGTGTGAAGGCCCCGTAATCCACGATGAGGTCGTTGAGAAAATGTAAGTCTCGCCGAATTGAGCTCCAAATCGCCGGAGGGCAGAACAAAGTCGATGGACTCATTGCTCTTGCTGTGTCCAGGGTGTAGTCAAACTCATCCATAGCCATCCATCCAGGATACTGACCAAAGTGTTGCAACCGAGCTTGCACTCTTGTGTTCTTCCTGGCAACTGGGTTGTAATCGACAACGGAGAGAATCTCCTGGACCTGTGCTGGCGGCAATCGTGTGCCCGAGGATGTATCACATGGAGGGCAACTTGAGTACTTTCTCTGCCTCTGGCTTCTTGGTGCGCAAGTTGAAGAAGGAAATTCTTCCGAATCCTGACGGCAAAGTGGCTCATGTATGGTGACATAGTCGTGGCACGCCATTCATCAACTGGGGCTTGTACGACAAAGTTCACAATGTCAGCATAGTTTCCAGGAAGGTCATAGTGGCTGGTGAGGTCAGCAATGGTATCGACTGCATGGCATCGAGAATACCATCTAAACAGAAGGTTCCATCCACGGACATGTGGGTCTGAGACATCGTGCTCTGTGGTGACACCAATACAGTGAGGACCAATGTCCAACATCCTTGCAACAATGAAAATTGCACGATTCTGCAGTTCCGTTGGGATGTGGACCAACACAATGCTGACAGCATCTTCACGACGAGTAATCTCAATGGCCCCCCAATGGGATGATACCAGCAGTGGAATGACTGTCACCGAATTGTTCATGATGGATGGTTCACCAAAAGCAGACTCGTCAAACTCATTGGAATTTGGGTTCCACAGCATAGGTGGTGTGAATGTGAGGTCTGGATAGGTCCACATCAAGGTCTGTGTAGCTGACCACATCTCATCTGTGGCTAGCCACCCATGGGTGGCTAGCCACCCGTGGGTGTTGGTGGCAAATTCAGCCCTGGTGGCAAAGTTGGCACCAGCTTCGAGAGATGGTGGTCGCCCTCCACTTTGGTGATGGCCTCCAGCTGAAATTCGCTCCGAGTGCACGGCCAGGATATCTCCATGTTGAAGAGCAATGCAGTCCGCCATAGGTTTGCCGTTCTTGTGCAGAATCTGGAGCTGTTGATCACCTTGCTGGAATAGGAGTCGATCAGTACATTTGTCTGGCAGACGAACGGCCTGGAGCATGAAAAGATTCCTTGTGTAGACGATGGTGTCAATCTCCGTGGAAGGCCGATTTCTCGCACCGACCATCACAAAGAGGTTCGGAAAGCCGCCGATCGTACACTGGTGTTCATGGAGATATTCTGACCCCCCAATGACCTGCAGCAACTTTTGAATGAGCTCATGCTTCTGTTGTGGAGTACACGTGATCCACACTGCGAAGCGGGTGTCGACTTGCACAATGGCGATGTACATGGACTTATGAGCCGTGTCATCTTGCAGTGTTTCGATGACACGCTGAGTTCATGATCGTGAAGGTGCACTGACCCACATGTTGTGGTCCTAGGAGAATGTTCCACAATCTGTCAGGCAGGGCGTACGTACGAATAGCTTGCTTGAGGTCTGCTGGAGTGGCACCTCCATGCAACGATAACTGGCTCACAAGTTCCCTACGGCCTTGGAAACACAAATGAAAAGCTTCACACATCATCATATGTGCAGGTACCTGCTGGCAGAAATCAATGTTCGAAAAGCTCCCTGCAGCATGGACGAGCTCGCTGGCTTCACAAGTCATTTGCGGCCTTGGCTGGACTTGAGCCATGGCATCTGCAATCGGTTGGAGGTGCACGAACTCTCCTTGCTCAAACAAGATCGCATTTGACGAAGTCAGCTTGTCCTTCCAGGCCTTCTTGACTATCTGAATCGGATCAATTGCTTCAGCGGTGAGTGCTTGAAATCCAACACAAAGTGTAAGAAGACTGTGGGGGATGGACACGGCATTGCCTATCCCATGGAAAGATTCACCAATCTTCACTGGCATGACTGTTTCTTCGAGAACTCCAAAAAGACTACAAAACATGGCAGGATCGAAAAACTCAAAGCCACGTTCACTCTTGCGGAGGTGTGCATAGATTCCTTTGTTTTGAAGGTGCGTCGAGGCCAACAAATGCTGTGTACTGTAGGAAGCACATAATGTTGGAAGGACCTCCCCTGGTTTGAGAACACGTTGGAGGAGAACATCATTCCCGTTCTTGGAGACCGTAGTTTTCAATCGTTTTGCAGGAGGCAAAAGCTCGTTGGTGTTGTAAAGCACATTCAGAAGGACTAAGCACTAGCTGTGAAGTCCATTTGGGTGGTAACTTGAATTGCTATTGTGGATCAGACCAAGGACACCTGAGCACAATGGACAGGTTCAACTGGAATGGGAAAGACTGTGCCCCATGATCATGTCGAATCCAAACGGCTAACCATCATGTTCGATGATGATTGGCAACAGTGTGATATGGTGTGATCTGAGACCAAATCTGCCGGTAGCCGAGAGCTTTTGCATAAGCGAGAACGAATTGGTAATGCTCATGTTTCGTGAGCTCATCAGCACACTCAAGTGCCATGAAATTTGTCTGCGTGGCAAAGGAAAGCTGAATGCTCTCAATGAACGCTGGCCATTGGAGTCTGCTAGTCCTTTAGCACGACCACCTTTGCTCCATGATTAGCATGGTGGTGACAGCGTGTGAACCAAGTTAGTCTGTGTTCGAAGCACGTTCAAAACTGACCAATCATTCACACAGCCACAAAGGCCGACATGAGAGCCATGGGGCCATGGGGTGGTAAAACCAATGGGACATCTCGTATGTGCTTGCTGGCATTTGGTGGACCATAGCTGCATCACCGTGGGATCAGCATCCAGGAAAAACTCCTGTCCCAAGATCAACCAATCAGTATTCTTGTTCATCCAATGCATGCTCTGACTCCACCCGGCAAAGGAGCCGGCGAAGGAATGAAAAACATTCCATGGCATGTCCTGTAGCAAATCCGGTTTGTAGGATACCGTGGCATCAACCAATGTAAAATGACATGGATCGTCCATTGTCTGTAAATGGCCACTGCATACTAAATTCATACCAGGGTGCAAACACAGGGATTTATGAGGGAGCCCATGGATAAAAATGCGATACACAGTGGTATTCTCATCAGCACGTCCAAAGCCACCGCCTGGGGTGAACAAAGAGGGTGAGAGATCAAGCCATTGGTCCTGTGCCGAAATGAGTTCACCCATCAGAAAAGTCTTCTCTCCCAGGTGGACCAGAAATGAAGGCTCCAATAATGGTGTAAACAAAGCTTTCACCTGAGACTGGAGGGGATCCTGCAAGATGGAACCTGCAGCCCTTAAAGCTTCGACAACATCCACGGCGCGAGTTCCGAATCGAGGCCAAGACACCGAAGGACCTGAAAGCAACCACCTAATCGACACTTCCTCCACCCGTTGTGGGTGGCGAGAAGCCCTAGGAGGCCGTACTCCTCAGCCTTAGGCTTTGGGCCTCGTGGCTTTTACCATGCTTTACCGGTAGCATATCAACACTGGCCGCTTGAAGGGAAGAAGGACCAACCTTCAGGGCAGTTTTGCCAGTACCCCAGCCCGAATGTCCCTGCAAGATTCCTCTCGAAATGATAAATCCGGAACACCCCGGAGACGGCGCACTCAATGCCTTGTCAATGCTCATGGAGCAAGTGACTGCCATGATTTGGTTTGGCATGAATGGGCAGAAGCTTGTTTCCTTGCATTTAAGTGTCCAGACTGCTTCTCGACCAGTTCTGCCCATCAATCAGATTGTTCCGACATTGAAAGTACAGCACAGTCTGCTGGCTGTCAGCAAAAGAGTGAAGGTTTGGACGTTTGGACATGTCAAAGCTCGTGTCCCGATTGCTGGCAAGCTGATTTGAACACTTCGTGGTGTCCCAGCCGCGATGAGGGAATATCATGCAATGTCAAGAGTTTTGTAAGCACCACATGGGATGACATAGGCTGCAAACGTGCCAGCTGTCACTGGAAAAAAAAAAATATATATATATATAGAGCTCATTTGGGTTTGGAGAAAGAAACCGCCATCAATCTGAGAATTTTTAGAGCGGTTTTATCTAAAAAGCTAAGCAACCTTCAAATTTTGGGGTTCTTTGAAGTCCACGGGCCAAAAAACCGCCCTTGGTGCCACTCAAAACATCTTTCAATCATGCCAATTAAAGACGCGCAATCCGCGCATCCAAGTCCGGACGCTCCACTGCTTGGCCATGAGCGCTGGACACCCTCACGATGCGGAGGTGCTGATCATCGGCGCGGGCTTCGCGGGCTTGACGGCCGCACGGGTGTTGAGTGCCTACGGTGTCCGTAGCAAGGTGCTCGAGGCGCGGAACCGCCTGGGCGGTCGCGCGCACACCTTGGAGCTGATGGATGAGGCGATGGAGCCAGAGGTGGCTTGGCCCAAAAATCGGGAACAGCTCAGGAAGACCCATGGGGACTCGCATGATTGCAGGCATGGCTTCATAGCTCAGAGCCAGAACAACCAAAACAAGTTCTGTTTGTTGCTGATGTTGCTGCTAATTACTGCACGTACTGGTGCTCGTCCTACTACTAGCCTTTGGTGCTACAGCTACTCATGCCGCTGCAGCCACGACTGCTTCTCCCACTGGTACTGCCTCTACTGTTGCTACCGCTGCTAGACTGTTACAGCCGTTCCGGCTAAAACGGCAACTGCGGCTACAGCATTGCCACTTTTTGATTGACAGCGAAGCCCTCATTGCAAGGACTATTACCGCGTTGTGAAGGGACAAGTTGTTGTTCAGAGCTAGGGCAGACCTAGGCCACTGACTCAACATGTGTTTTGGTTTTGATTATTCTACAAAGATATTTTGTTTTAGTGACTACACATGTTGTGGTCATTGTGTTTGATTATGATCCCACACAGCACAGGTGGCTGAAGAAGGTTGTAATTATCTTCACGGCTGCAGTGATGATCACCCCTTGTTTCTGCTGGCAGCGCGTCTTGGCATTCCCACTGCAGTGGCCACGGGCGACCTGGGTTGTCAGTACGGTGGCTGGGAATCCGCAGAGCTGGCCGAGTGGCACGATGTGGACGCTGGCGAGGAGCGCGAGTGAGTTGAGCGTTCTCCCCGTATTGGGGAGAGGTGAAGATGGATGCTGATTTGGGAGGCAATACAGCCAAGTTTGACCAAGTTCAGCTCATGTTGATCAAGGATAGAGGATTTTTGAGCATCCATTTGTCAACTCATAGGAGGTTCGGTCATTTTGTTCTGTGTGTTTGATGATCTTCATAAGCTAGGCAAGTCATGTAGTCTAGAGTCTAGCTGCCTCTCTCTCAAACTCCCAGGTATTTGAGGAGTCGTGTCACTTGTGTGTTTGAGGAGATCCCCGTGGAGGAGGTGTTGGATGCAGCTCTCTTGCTTCAACATGTCATCTATGGCGTGGCCGTTTTGGCCGAACGCGACGACGCCGACGCCACGGTGGAGGTGCTCTTCGAGCGCGCGCTGCTGGAGATCCTGGATCGGCGCAAGGCCGCAGGGCGCCGCAGTGAAGCAAGCTTGACAGCAAGAGAGCAGCTGGGTGTGCTTTTGGAGTTTGTTCCATCCCTCATGTAGACTGTTGAGAAAATGCATCATACATAATAATCCCCCCAGTCGCATTGTAAAACCTCACCAATATGGGGAGTATTGCTCAACAGTCTACACATTATTTGCAATGGTTGTCCTAAGTGACTCAACTCATTTTTGTTGGAGAAAGGTTGCAGCACCGATCACCGACCAGGCGTGCTTTGATCTATAAGATTCGAGGTCGACATTTGGGCTATGTGGCTCCATGCTCACGCATGCCTCCCACCCAGATTGTAGCATCCACCTCCCTAGCACGTGCAGAACAAATTTTTCGGGATGGCCACTGGCCGCACAGCGAAGAAGGCCTTCATGAGGGGATGCTGCGTTTATGGCGGCAGAAGTTGGCGATTATCCAATCCTTCTCGGATGGGCCAAAGAGCTCTGTGACGGATGCTGAGCTCAAATGACTGTGCTAAACGTGCAACAGTTCCGCGTTGCGCTGAACGCGGAACTGACCTGCGGACCGCGGACCTTCTGAAGACAGTCTCCCAAAAGGATGTTTCAGTATGTTAATCTATGTTCTTCAGAGCAAAAGACCCCTTTGTTCATCCCAGTGTCTCAAATATTGGACACAGGATGATGTATAAATATGTATGAACGACCTGTTCAGTAACCCAGCACAATGACTTGACTCAGGATGAGCCGGAGGATGACTTTGAAGATCGGCTGCTGTTGGGCGGCGGCTTTCGGACCTTTATCGATTGTTTGGCAGAAAACGCGCAGGTGCTGCTGGATGAGGTAGTCAAGGAGGTCATCCAAGAAGAAGCATCGGTGGCGTGGTTGCACTTGGCAGATACGGATGCAATGCAAGTGAGATGTCGCATGGCAATTCAGAGTCTGCTGACAATGTAGGTCAAGACCAGGGGCCCTAATCCATGGTAAGTTGACCTGGCTGGTAGTCTATTCTGTTCTTCCCGTCGCGTCGAGCGAAGTCTCGACTGGTATGCTAAGCATTCTGCTCAGCATCCTCCACACATGTGTTGTCACATGTCACCCCGAATTAGGATTCCGCGCTGTCCAAACAAAATGCCCAAGCTTGCAAGCGGGCAGTTGAAACACTAGCAAGTATATGAGCAAACCTGACTTTTTGCTCATGATCAAAATAAATTTCCGCTCCATCTATCGTTCCGTTCGGGAGGGATTTGCCTATACACTTGTTTCTGTGTCTATTGTGGCGGCCAGGAATGAACCCGTCCTGAGAAAACGTTTGAAAGGCCGCAACCACCTGTTTGAAGTCAGTTGCCAAGTCACGAAAAGTGTGAAGCGACGGATCGTAAGAGGGTAAAGACCAACCTTGGAGGTAGAAAAGTAGAGCCAGTTCCATGTAGGAAGTGACTGCGTCTTCCGCAACTCGCCACCTCTGAGCAGCAAAAAAGGAAACCAGTTGAGTCCAGTCTTTAGCCCGTTCACTCCAAGTCTGAGGGAGGTCAACTTGCGACATATCAAAAGATGGAGTCCACTGAAAACAATGGGGCAGCGGGTGCCAGTCCCAGTTGGGAAACAGTGCATAGACATCTTCCGACAATGCTTCTTCTTCAATCCGTGCGTCCTGTTTGTCAAGCATCTCTGTACTCTGAAGACTAGCAATCTCCATGTTTAAACAAGTTAGCCAATCTTGTCGTTTTGTGACGGAGTCTTTCAGAAGCCATTCATCTCTCGGGTGAACGCTCGTGGCGTCTAGAGCATGGATTTTGGCATGTTTATCAGCAAAGCGATTTCCAATTATGTGACGAACTTCAGTCTTTTGGGCATGAGCCATTTCCGGCGTGATGAACTCTTCGGGCAGGTGTTCGAACAGGTGCGAGGGAATCCACGTGAGGGAAAACGGCGTCGGATGGCAACGGTGGATTTCGTTCCATCGTTTCGAGATTGCCTGCCACCACGCTAAATGAGACCACGAGGCCTTGGGTTCACCTAAAAGACACAGTTCTTGAAATTGGTCAACAATCGTCTTGCAGTCAGTGAACATTTCCGTGGGCCCAGCACACTTGCAAATGGCAAAAACCAGGGCCCAAAGCTCCGTGGTATAGGCCGAAATCTGAAAATGTCGGACTGGGCCTCCAAATAGTTCTTTGGAGTTCATGTCAACAACAGAGAATCCTCCAGCCGAAAGCCAAAAAATATCAGGCCAGAATACCGATCCATCAGACCACCACTCTACCTTTGAAGCAGCGGGGTCGAATGGAGGTTGCAGAATCTGGTTGGGATCATTCCAGTCAAGTCGATGTCTAATGACTCCAACAGGATGTTCAACGATCCCCAACAGGCCAAAGTTGGGGCCATATTCATGAACAGGAAGGGGGGGATGGTCGGCATGATACTGTTCACAATCGTGGACCAGATGGGACAAGGACTCTTTGAACTTGCCGCAGAATCTGCACAGGTCTGACTTGTCAAGTTGGGCGGCAAAAATTCTATCCCGCGTAAGCGTGCACCCAACTAATTGTGCAATAAAATGGCTCTCAACCAGGGGCTTGGATTCATGCTGAATTTTCGAGTGCTTGCGAAGGCCACAAGAAAGATCATAATCCAAAATTCCAGTTGGTTGGCGAAAATCCTTACGATGTTGGTTGGCTGCTTGAAGATAGCACTTGTGCCTCGAAAGACGATGCAGGAGCATTCGTATGTCTTTGGGGTGAACATCCCAGGCAGGCATGAGCGGCTTGCCCCCAAAAGAGATGACCAAGCCCTTGGAAAGCTGAAGGCCGAAAAAGGAAAAGGCTTGTGAGACACGAGACGAAAAGGCATTCTCCAAGTCACAATGCTCTGCCACCCATCTACACTTATCAAGGGAATTGCCAGGCATGCGAATAAATCGCAGGAATTCCATGATTGTGTGATACGCTTTTGCACAAGTCGGCTCATTCCTATGTGGCTCCGAAAGGAAGGCCAGAACAAGGGCACGAGAGCGCCAATGTGGCCTTCGGCCCCATAAAGCGTGTACAATCTCTGATTGAAACTTCCTGGCAAATTCCTTGGGGATTTGGTTCAGCGAAGCCGCAAAGCAAAACCGAGGGATGACCTTGACCCCAATGAAGAAGCACTTGGTTTTCACAGGGAGTGGAAGAGCTTTAATGTGTTTGATTTCTTTGATAATGGCGGCAGCTTTCTTTTCTTCAAAATGAAAAGCTTGTCGTTTGGAGGTAGGAATTGTCGCACCAAGAACATCGAGCTCAAGTTGACACAGCATCTCAGGCCAAAGCTGCTTACAAACTTTCCTAGCCTTGGTGGAGGTCCCCCAAACTACACATTTCTTATCATTGAGAAGCTGGCCGGACATTAAGTCCCAGAACCGTGTGGTTTCCACTGCATGGGCCAGCACATGGGCATGTTCGAGCCTTGCCCACAGGTATGCGTCATCGATATAGGCCATCGCTACCACCTCTGGAAGAAGGTTCATAAACACCACCCAAACTTTCGAGTAGACATTAATGGCTACGAGGGAGAAACTATCTCCCTGGGCAATGCCGTTGGCAGCATGGGTAGCCACCGGCGAGCACCAACTCTTGAAGGAAAGGTGGCGATGAAGGCCATCGTACAGTTTGCTGAAGATGGAAACTATTCTACGATCAATTCCAAATGCCAACATGAGACAAGAAGCGAAGGAGGGGATAATCCTGTCGAAACACTTGGCTTTATCCAACTTGAGTCCAATAAGGTTATATCCTTGGGCATGAGCAATGTCAATGTCCAGCTTTAATTGAGTCTGGATACAAGACATGTTACGACCCTGGACGCCTCCCACAAGTTGGGATGGCATGGAATTGATCTGCCAGCCGCGAAGTTGCCTAAACCGGGCTCCTGAGTATGCCAGGTATAGCACAGGGAGAACAGTTATAAGACGTTTCTGCATGGGATGTGAGGACCCATTTTTATTCAAGATGATCTGTCTGGCACAAGTCAGGGTAGTTGGCAGCGGATCATCAGCTGTCTCAAGCTCAGCGAAGATCTTGGCAAAAGGGCGAAAGCATGCTGCAGGAAGCATCTGCAATTCCTGAGTTCGCCATCCGTCAAAACCCGGTGCCGCTTGGGGGTTACGAGCTTGAATCGTGGTCCACATGGCATGTTCATCAATGGGCTGACACTCAAATTGCTGCGCATGATCTCTAATGTAAGGCCAAATAACATCAAGCATGCGAAGGGGGTGATCAGCCTGGATATTACAAGCAAACACATCATCCCATGCATCATTGAAAGTGGAAATGGCTTGGTTCGGATCTACGATGATGTTTCCATCGGCATCCTGCAACAAATTGGCTGGTTCTGCACAGGCACGATTGCGTAGATGTTTGAAAATGAACTTGTTCCCACAACGAGCATCCTCCTGGATCTTCAGTCTCCAACGTTGGATGCGTTCCAATTTAGTCTTGACATCGTAGGTGCGAGCAGCATCTCCCACCCAGGAAAGATTGGACCAAACCTGCAACAAAGTGGGAACCGATCCGTGAGTCCACACCCAGGGGGATTGAAGTTCAACTAAGATCTTACGAAGCTTAAAGCAAGTGTTCAATGTGACCTGTGTGTCATGAATGTTTCCTGGCAAACGGGCAAACCGGGCATAAAGCTCTTGAAGACCCCTGTATGCACGACAGAAACGTGAAAGTTTGGTCTTGGAAGCACCTCCAAACAAGTTCTGTCCTGGGCAAACACGTTTGGAGCGAAAAGCCGGCGGCCGTCCACGGTGCTTAAGACCTTTGCCCCAGTGCGCACCATTTTGTAGGAGGAACGAGACACAGAAGTCATTCGCAATCTCCCACTGGGAGTCCACATCTGCAGCATCATCAAAGGCCTGTGCAAAGGACTCGGACCAAAGGGCGTCTGCATGCTGACTAGTGAGTTGAGGCTCAGGTGACATCCCTTTATCAACTTCAATACACAAAGGTGCAGTGCGATGGTGAATGAAACCTGAGACAAACATTCTGGGCCAGGAGCAAACAATCCTCAAAGGACGGTGTTGAGTTTCAAAGGAAGCCACCGTTTCAGTTCTGAGAAGGGCCGCACACGTAACATGGTTGACGAGAATGGTATCAATGCTCGAACATCCATCTTGACCGGAGAAAGACCTGTCTGATGAGAAGGTGAGTTCACGGGTCGGTAACCCCTCAGCATCAAAGGTCAGGAATGGATCCTCCCACTTGGCAAAATGAATTGCACTAGCAACAGCAGAATACGAAAGCGGCTCGGCTTGAAAATCCCCCGCGATCATCACCGGGACGTCTCCGAATTGAGCAGAGATCTCGAATATCTGTTCCAATGCCCTATCATTCCAAGAGTGAGGAACCTGTTCAGACGAGGCTCCAGTTCGACCGTAGAAGGACCAAATGAGGGCTCGGACATGTTTCGAGACCTGGTGCCAAACAGCCGAAACCCTAGTGGAGTCAAAAAGACCTTGATATTGACCCGTAAGATCTTGAAGGGGATCGAAAGCTTGAGTGTTCTCATGCGGGGCAAGGATCGCGGACCCACCATGAGGTGTGCCGGAAACACCATGGTTGGTAATAAGACCCGGCAGAAGTTTGGACGGAAACAAATGGCGACCCGTGGCTTGGACACGGAAGGTGGCGTCTCGATGATTGTTTCGACCTATACGCGGTTCTTGAACACAGATGACCGAGTCTTGGGCAGTCTGCCACTGCATTGTCGTGCGGAGAGAACCAGTGTTATGTGAGAATAAGGACCATTCTTCTGAAGGACCTTCCCCCGGGAAGCCACACGTGGAATCGAATTGTGAGCGGTTCGAAAATGCACATGGACGGTGTATCAGGCAATCA